GGGCTGCTTACTATCAGCCTTAAGTGTAAACATCCATCTCATCGGTTGGGTAAGTTCTGATGCCCGTGACATTGAAACAGAAATACCAGTGCTTATAGTACATCTACAAACATCATTCAACTTGAGAAGCTCGAGCAGATTAGCGGTCGAATAGATCTCGTTGTTGACGTCGACATGTTGACGACGACGAAATGAAAAGCTTTCCTTGCATCTAGAAACTCTTCCGTTTTCAAGCTTACAGCTCTTATCAGCCCTTATAAGCCGTTTCCATCACCCACTCGACATGCTCCTGTTCCACCCCTGCGTTATATCTAAAAATCAGCAGCTCATTGCTGACCGAGGAATGAACGACCTCGCCTCAAGGAATCAATTTCATTTGGGGTTCTAAAGATTGCTGCTAGGTTTAGTATCATCCCTAACAGGCAAGTCGCGACGTTGCTGATCTGAAGGCGCGCAGGAATCCTGTTCTAGTGCCTTCATATGTAGGCTGATGAGGCCAGGGCAATTCGGAGAGAAGGAAAACTCTACTACGATGAAGACGAAAGGTGGAATAGCGTGAGTAGCGGTAGCGGAATCTCAAAAATTACGCTTGTGCCCACAGGACCAGCGATTGCATCATGGATATAAGGCAACATAGCCTGATACTAGGCAGTGCTGTGAGCGGATCTATTGCAAGCGCTTAATCCGAACTTGGGAAGGACGATTCTGAGCCTTGGCGAAGTCTCTTTCCTCTACTTCAATCATGCTCTTCGAGTATAGCAAACACAAGAAATGTCGAAACTAAGCTCAGTGGTGTTTTAGCAATCACTTTAGAGTGGTACCTTTACGAAAGTAAGTCTTAATGGCTCTGTGTTTGTCTCCTTCACGAGTAGCCGTCAAGACACATTTCTGTGGGAATGCAAACTGCCCAGGTCGTTTTTCAATTTATATAACTTTAGTCAATATACAATTAAATTTCATTGCATGCTCCTCTGCATGATAATTTTGTACGTCTACTCAAGGTTTATTCGTCTTTCCCCTGTGTCTTTATTTCGCCAATCCCAACTCACTGATGAGCTCCGGGGATTGACGAAATAATAAGGTTCGTCTGAGGAAGGAGCGAAACGAACC